AAGGCTCTAGGTTAAATGTGCCATGAAATGTCTGTCTAATACCTGTAATCAAACTGCATCTCCCTCTGCTATGCAAAGAGTTACATACTTTTCAGAAACTATGCCTTAAAGAAAACTGGCTTCACACCTTGGGTTAGTCATTTTGAAAATATGAAGTTGTTCCTCCCAATGTGATCTTGCTCCAAATGTACCCAACTAGAAGATCACAGAATTGGAGTGTCTAAGCTATGGCATAGTGAAGAGTCTATTTAACTGGATGATGCCTAGATGCCACCAATAATCATTCCTCTAGGTGGAATAAAATAATAGGTAGTATCTGGGATCTTAAAAGCTTGATGAGATCCAACCAAAGTTCCAGCTAGAAGTCTAGGCAGAATAAAGCACTCTTATAATGGTGATCAAGGAATCGCTGCAAAGATTCATTATCAAAAGGGGGGAATGTGTAAGGGCACTCTAAAACTGAGGTGCTTGGCATGATTAAAATGACTATTCCAAACCTGAATTACACTTAAGCTAGTCTTAAGTCCTCTTTTCTGCCTTCCTAAAAATAGAACCAGCAATTTAGAGTATGGTGACATATAACCTCTTGTAAAACTTTAAGTTATCCTCTGCAAACAATGGAAGGGGCAAGGATGTGGTTTATGAAGAAATGTTTTTCAAGAGATATTTATCCAAATGGTCTTGGAAGAATGTGCAGCATGCACCAGGAAGAATGCATATGTAGATATTTTAGAAAATTGCTTACTAGGTTGGCTCCAGAGAGTCTATGTTAGCTAACCTTGCAAAATTTTAACTTGCTAGTTTCTTGTAACTATATGTTATGTCAAGCTCCCATGATTGTAGTCACATGTTCCTTTCCCCACTTTTCTTTATAAAAAGTTTTCCTTTCCCTCAGAATGCTGGAACACTTTGTGATCCAGCATTATATTCTGCTCCCCCAGCCTGGCTGTTCTCTTCTCCAAATACACCTCTTTGCTTTCACTTTGAACAGAGTATAAGTATTGTTTAATGCTATGACAATAAGAAATGGGGGGGGGGTAAATAAAAGGAAGGGAGAGGAGGAAAAGAGTGAGAGGGAAAAGAAGAAAGGAAGAATGAGATAAAAGCAATAGAGACAAGAATATGCAAATGGAGGGAACAATGCAAGCACAGACAAAAAGCTAAAAGTATGGGATATGCATAAGTAATAGAAAACTGGCCCATCTGATGGGGAGAGTGTGCATGAAGAAGCAACAAGGAGGTAGATGCAGTCTAATTGAATGAAATAATTCACAAGGAGTCATCACCATTCCTGCTCTAGATGTTAGATATAGCGTATATAAACAAAAATAGGACAAATTGGATTTTTCTTCCTGGGACTGTTAGTTCATAGCTTTATACAATCAATCAAGTATTAATTGGGCATTATTATGCCTAGCAGCTTGCAAAGTGCTATGTGAAATTCCAAATTAGTATGTCACTATGTTGCTAAATGAATTTTACAATCTGGATAGCAGAATCCAGAACATCCACCAGAAAGAAGAAACATAGTTTAAATAAAAGGATTAACGAATTTATCTTTGACATCAATGTCAAGAATAAATAGGCTCTTTCTGAATGTTTAGTATTTGCAAAATTCTGTGCTAGATATTATTCTATGTATTCTCTAATTTACCCTTTTATCTTTTTTACTTCCTTTATCCCTCCTTTTTTTCTTCCATTCTTTCCTTCCTTCCTAGAACTAATACGTGTAGATCTGCTACTACATACCAGTCACCATGTAAGTCAGGTGAGAAACAAGATAGACACCACATTGTGATATGGGATTTGAAAATCTCATTTTAGAAACGGATAAAATAAGATTAACTAGAAAATTTGTTCGGCATCACACAGGAAACAAATTAAGGAGCTGGGAAATTAACCTAAACTTTCAAAACTTTTTTTCCACACTGAGCAAAATGTAATCACTGAAAATTACAAATTTTAGAGATAAAAATACTCCTCATCTAGTTAAGAAATATTTCTCAAAAGAGGAGACAGTAAAGTTCAATTTGCTGCCAGATAACGTGTTTCCTAGAGGTTAACTCACAGATAGGTGATTACTCAGTCTGGCCAGAATACTACCATTTCTGTTTTTCTTCCTACTTTTATGCTTCCATGTTGATGTTTTTTCTTTTCTTTCTTTCTTTTTAATAGCATTTTCAATTAAGATTTCTAATTAGATTCCAATTTTGAGACTCATCTCTACTAGAAAACAAATGGCAAGACTAGCAATTAATGGGCAGACATCCCTTGTCTTAGTCATCTAGTGTTGCTATAACAGAAATACCACAAGTGTATGGCTTTACCAGAGAGAAATTTATTCTCTCACAGTCTAGTAGGCTACAAGTCCAAATTCAGGGCATCAGCTCCACAGTAAGGCTTTCTCTCTCAGCTCTGGAGGAAGGTCCTTGTTGTCAATCTTCCCCCGGATTAGGAGCTTCTCCGTATTTGTCAATCTTCCCCTGGATTAGGAGCTTCTCTGCACAGGAACCCCAGGTCCAAAGGTCATACTCTGCTCCCAGTGCTGCTTTCTTGGTGGTATGAGGTTCCCATGTCTCTCTGCTCACTTCTCTCTTTCATATCTCCAAAGAGATTGGCTTAAGACACTATCTAATCTTGTAGATCTCATTAATATAACTGTCACTAATCCATTTTATTACATTATAATGATAGAAAATACGACACATAGGGAAATCACATCAGATTACAAAATGGTAGACCATCATAAAACACTGGGAATCATGACCTAGCCAAGTTGACAGATATTTTGGGGGGACACAATTAAATCCATGACATCCCTTTTCTTTTTGAGGATTAAACATAGTTTTTATTTCTAAATTATGAAAACTTTGGGAATTTTTTCTTCTTCTTCTTCTTTTTTTTTTTTTAATTGTTAACTCCATTGAAAGTCCCTGAGTGGCGCAAATGGTTTGCACTTGACTAGCTCATCTAATGATTAGAGGTTCAAACCCACGTAGAGGTACAGAGGAAGAGGCCTGGCGATATGCTTATGTAAAGATTACAGCCAAGAAAAGTCTATAGAGCAGTTCTACTCTGTAACACGTGGGGTTTCCATGAGTCAAAACTGACTTCAAGGCAATGAGTTTGGTTTTTGGTTTCGGTTAACTTCACTGAAAGATACTGAATTTGGTATAAAAAGTCAATGCCTTTTCCAACACAGATGCTGAGAACCTCTCATCTGGAATAAGTACAGGATAGCTAATACTCTAGGTTGTTGAGACTTTCATCACTGCAAATGCAAAATCTCCACATTTCATATAAGATCTAATCATTCTTTAGGTTCTAGAGCAGGTGCTAGAGCATGTGCTAACCCAAGTCATTTGCTTTACTTTAATAATTTTTGTAGGAGTCTGGATTATGAGAATTTTATAGATTACAAAATGAAGGAAAACAAGTATTTTCAATGAAAAGGAATATGATTCTGAACATCTCAGGTGCAAATAGTATTTTTTGTGAGTTTCTTTTGTCTGCTTGATTTAAGAGAACAAATATTACTAATGACTATATTGAAAATTATTTAGCACACTAGTACCCGTGTATTTATTGGTACCTAAGGCTGTATTTTCACATGGAAAGTATAATCAGGGTTTGAAGGAATTAACCATACAATTCAGGTCAAGAAAAATCTTCTGTCTGAAAAAGCTAAACCGTTGAAATAGATAATTTCTTTTTTGGCTTAAATAATCTAGATTCTAGAAAATTCTCTTACTTCATTTAATGTACATAACAATAAAATAGGTCAAGTTACATAAAAGCAGCCCAGCCTCAGGAGTAAGAGGAATGTCTTAAAACGAATATTTCTAAGATAGAAGCCTTTAAAATATTTCCCAATATAATCTGAGAAAATAGTTTTGAGAAAGATCAAGTTAAACAAATACACACACACAAATCTGCACACACAGTTCTGTAGAACTTCTCACAGTTTATGATATGCTAATGTGCTCACGAAGCTCCTGAGAGTGTTACAGTACTCAGAATTTTTCTACCTTAATTTTATGTAGAACATATTTTGAATTAGTGTTCAGAAGAATGAACACACTGAGAACATCTTTGAACAGTTAATGTCATTTACACTGTAATTCAGCAGGAGATGCAAGGGTTAGGGGTATGACGATAGATTTGAGAGCATCTATATTCAGAGGACTAGAAGAAAAGATGAAGTGATATCACACAGAAATGTCAAGGGCAGAAAGTAGCAATGTGAAGGTGGTTTGAAGGCACCTTACCATGGATATCAACGCCCTATGTAACCAGGCCAGTTCTCATATTTCTAGCTTCATCTTATGTCTCCACCTCTGTGACTTTGCTCCAGTCATACTGTCCTTTTTTTCAGTTCTTTTCTGTAATTGTGCTGTTCAATCTGCCTGGTACTCTTTACCTCACACTTCTGGTCTTAGTTTAAATGTCCTCTCCCATAGAAATACCTACTGTTTATCCAATCCATGTACAGTAGATTTCTCCTTATCCCCTAATATTTTCTGTCCCAGGACTCTGCTTTTTCTCTTTATAGCATTTATCAAAGATTCTACTTATATATTCATATTTCTTATTTATTTTATGTCTCCTTCACTGTAAGCCCCTTGAGGAACAGAATGGACCATGAATGTTTGTTTAATTCTGTAAAATCACAAACACCTCATAGATGAGTGCCTGACATGTAATTGGCCCTTTAAAGAAGTTATCTGTTAATAATAAATAATAATTATTAATTAATCCCTTCACATTTCTGTCAGACTTGGTCTAAGTGAATAAAATTCTCATGATTAATTTAATATATATCTAGAAGTTAATTCCTGTTTAGGATATGATTGGCCATCTATACTATGTAGTCACACATATCCAGAGACATTAAACTAGCATTTTTGTAAAATATTTTTTAATAATGGAGGTTATAAGCTTGAATTAAGCATTGATCAAAATGAACATTATGTGTTAATTAGTAAGAATCATTCTTGTACCTGCTTTATCGTTGTATTCCTCAAAACAGCTCTGCTCTTTGATTATTGCTTTGCTGGTTTCAAAGCTCTGTAAAGGACAAAAGGACAAAATGTTAGGATTTGGGGTCTCACTGGGAACTTCCCTTTCAAAAGTTCCCCTAGTAAAAACATTTAATATGGTTGTAATGCCCATCACTGCAAACTTGGGAACTTATTATCACAGGATCCATGAAGAATACTTGTTTCTTGTCGCTATTCCTCATTACCGTATTTGTACACAAATAACACACACATTCTACATTTGTTTGCCAAACGCACCCTCCCCGCTGTGAGATATTTTCAAAAGTGTGCTATGATAATTTTTTTACAGCAACATGGAAGAAAAATTGGCACAGTCGCTCACAGAAATGTCTCACAGGGGGAGGTTGCGGCTGGCAAACATTCATAGAAGGCACACATTATTTGTGTCAAAATACAGCACTCTGCTTCATTCAGCCCACTAAGTTCTATTAGAAGGAATTATACTGACTCTTATTTATTGCTTACACATGTCAGGAACTATTCTAAGTTACATGGATTAGCTCACTTATTCCTCATAATCACTGGGCAAGAAAGGGTTAACTCAGTAGGCCTGGATTGTTCAAACCCTGAAAATTCCAAAGAGAAAGCCTGTCTCCAGGACTAATCCCTTGCTTGTCTGAGCCCATGGAATATTCTGCCTGATAAACGTGTTTTTGTATACCTGAGGCTTTGGCAACACTGTGCTTATGATGAACATCTGTTTTTGTATGCCTGAGGCCTTGAGCCATGCTGTACCGGTCTGACCAGATAAATTTATACAAACAATGTGATTTACGGTAACACCTATTTTTGCTGGGAAGGGTCAGGGGTGGAGGAGAAGGCTGGAGTCTGAGTAGTTGAGGTCTGTCATGAGGGCACTGCATACCTACGTGACTGACCCCAGTTAAAACCCTGGACAAGGTTCAGGTGAGCATCCCTGGTTGGCAACACTTCACATGTGTTGTCACAAATTGTTGCTGGGAAAGTTAAGAGAGTCCCCATGTGACTCCATTGGGAGGAGACACCTGTAAACTTGCACCTGGTTTCTCCTGACTTCACCCTGTGAGCCTCTTCCCTTGGCTGATTTTAATCTGTATCTTTTCACTGTAGTAACCATGGTTATAACAGATGTTCTGAGCCCTAGCAAATCATTGACCCTGGGGGTGGTCTTTGAGACCTCTGACATAACTGCTATATGAGGTAGGTACTATTGTTATGCACATTTTATAGAGAAACTGGCAAAGAAAGGTGAGGTAACTCAACCAGAGTCCCATAGCTAGTTTAAGTGTCAGTATTTGAATCCTTAGGCATTTTACTACTACGTTATGTTGCTTATCAAAAAAAAAAAAAAAAAAATGTTACTATAAGTTATTTGATAAGTGTATCAATAAAAATGCCACCTGGTTCTTCTTTCAAGTTCATTATCAGGGATGATAAATTTTATATAATAAATGTAATATCAAATACAAGAATATCTTTTTATTTGTTAAAAAGAGAGTAAAAACTCTTCTTCATTGGACTTAAAGTTGTCCTTTAACCACCGTACTTTGTTCAAAACAAACTTTATCCCAGTGACCTTATTAATACAGCTATGACATAAGATTTCTCACTCATATTCTCATATATCTCCGTTCATTCTCGTGTATTTTTTCTAACACAGGAAAATTAAACTACGAAGTATAAGCTTTAAATCACATCAGACCTTACTTAATTTGGGAGACACAAAATTTTTCTTAAAATTTCTCATGTTTCAGAATATATAGAGTTGTTTTAAGGTAAGTGTTAGGAAAAAAATCATGGTAAGAATCTAGTCATTCAGTTGCTATTAAGAAAACACAAAGCTTCTATTGATTTCTAAACACCAAACAGAAAAATAGAAAAACCATAAGTTTGCTATGTCAAGCTTTTATTCAGGTAGGCTTTGCAAAAATACCCACTTTTTTTCTCATTTGTCATTGTCATTAGGTGGCTGAGATAGAAGCTTTATTCTAACACTTGAACAAAACTGTAATTAATTTTATGTTTTTCAAATTCACCGAAAGCTATGCATCATGCTCTATTGCATACACAGTGGATAGAAGTGTCCTATCCTTATCACCAGAATAGATTGCACATTTCCTCTCAATATTTTAGATGTCATTATATCTGCAAAGGTAATGAGTCTACCTCGCAAACTCAGTGTGGATTTACACAAGTCAACGTAATCTTACATGGTCCATAATATCCAAACAGGCACTTGAAATATTTTTAAAAATATAAGTAAGGCATAGAGAGGAGAGGCACCACCTCACACAGTGATGATGAAGCATATCAAATGTAACCTGGATAACTGTGCAAGCCCCAAAAGCAACTGTTTATGATGCAGAATTATCAAATGTGTTATGTGAGCCTGAGCCTTTCAGACTTGTTTTTCCATATTATGGTGTTATTCACCATGAGTTAGTTCACATGATGTAGCAAGAACCAATACTTACCCAAAGCCCCTAAAGTGTATGGTCACCTTAAATAAACACCCCACAGAGTTAATACAAACAAAAAGATTTATTTTAACAGTTGTCATTACTTTCACAATAAATGATTTAATAGGATATTTTTCTTGATCAGGACATAAATGTTTTCTTTAAGTAGAAAACACAATTCTATTTTAAACAACCTCTGGATGTTAAACAGAATTGAACATTATTGATCTAGATTAAAATGTAGAATATTTAAAGGAAAAAAAAGTTGGAGTGACCTCTATTAGGCTTCCACCTTATACTCTAGAGACTGCTTCCTTCTTTGGTTCCTATGCCCATTTTCTTTGTGGCCCTGAATGGGGCTTTCATCACTCATATCTTGTCTCATCTTCTACTCCAGGGTCCTAGTGTGATGGACATATAGCTAAAGTCAGAGCTGACTCTTTCTTTTCCATGTAGACCTTTGGAAGAAAGCTGGGCTTGAGATGCCTTGTTGGTGACCCTAGACAGTTCAGGTGATACCAAGTTAAGGGCCCCCAGCAGGGAGAGGTTTAGGGATATTATGCCAGAGACAGAAGCTGAGTGGGGTGGAATTTAAACAGATCAGAGAGACAGCATGCAGTGTATATGTCAGGGAATTTTGCAATATGGAGGTACTCATGGGGTCCTGAAAAACTCACACATTTTCCCATAAAAAATTCAGCATTTAAATGCCTATTTTACCGATAATCTACTTATAGTTACTAGAATCTCTTCTAATAAGCTGTCTCTAAAATACATAGAAACCACCCAATCCCATCTCACAGGTTTTTAAAATGTTACTTTAGTTCCTCAAGTCCCATCCTTTATTGTGAAGACAGTGTAGAATTTGATTGGCAATGAGACTCAACACGGCCTTTAGGTCAAAGCTGAAAAGCTATCAAAAAACGTCTATTAGAACCAATAAAATAATCCAATAAAAGTCCCAGAATAGAATGTAAATATGTAACAATCAATAACTTTTCTATATAATAGCAATAAATAGTAACTTTTTAAAAAAATGGATGCAACTCCCAATAGCAACTACAACTTGAGCTATTAGAACAGAAACATCAAAATCAATAAATTATTTATGAATAACTCAGTAAGGAAAAATATGAAAGATATAAAGAGAAATAAGGAACTGTAGCAAAAATATCTATACTATAAATATCAATTCTTCCCAAAATAATTTATATTTTTTAGCATAATTCCAATACAAATTCCAAGGGGTGTAATTTTCAAGTCTGTTAATTTTTTCTAAAGTTTATTTGCAGAAAAAGTTGAGGATCATAAAGAAAAATTTTAATATGAACGTTAACAAGAGGACTTGTTCTATGTAGTGACAAAACATACTACTGTAACACAACATTTAAGAGTGCAGAACTGGCTCAGGAATTGATGTACAGATTAGTGGGAAATATGAGTATCCTAGAAACAACACATTTTACTCTTTTATTCATTCAACAAATTTTTAACACCTGTCATATGCCAAGCGCTATACTAGTTACTGAAGAGACAATACAATTTTTGTCCTCATAAAATTTGGTGGGAGAAAAAAAAAAGATTAATAGCCATATTCATTACAATAGAAATGGATAAAAATGGGCATAGGATTTTATAGATGCATATGCAAAGGAAACTTAAATTCAGTGTATGATCAAATAACCACCAAAAATTAATGAGAAGGAAATGAATTAATAAATAATTGTCTAGTTTTCTGGAACAAAATCAAATATATCCAACTAGACACAGATATAAATTCTAGATGTACTATGGAAGTAAACACAAATAAAACCCAACACAAAAATAAAGAAACATGGAATTGAGTATTTATAACCTTTTTTGGAGAAATAAAGTCTACTTCTGAAGCTTATAAGTGATAGAAGGAATCACACTGAAAAAACCTGGTGGATTGGATTATGTAAAATGTAAAAATTCCATATGTTTAACAAAAAGGGGGAGGCAGGCAAAGGCAGATATAAAATAACTTGCAACAAATGAAATGCACCAAAATCTATTTTATACAAATACTAAATACCCAAATGAGAAATATTCAAAGGATAATTCACAATGAAGTAACAACTTATTAATGAATATATGGAAAAATGTTCAACCTCATTAGTTATTAAGGAAATACTCACTGAAACAATGATTAATAATTTTGGCAAGGAGGAACAAATTTTTGTATTTCATTGCATTTTGATATTGCTTTGAATGCCACTTTCAGACATCCCCAAGAGTATATAATTTGGACTTCTTGTGGAAAAGAATTTAACAAAATGTACTAAGAGCTCTAAAAGCGTTCCTACCCTGTACCTGAATATCTAGGAATCATTCTCACCATATATAGTGGGAGCCCTGGTAGTGCAGTGGTTAAAAGCTTGGCTGCTAACCTTAAGGTCAGCAGTTCGAATCCACCATCTGTTCCTTGGCAACCCTATGGGGCAGTTCTACTCTATCCCATAGGGTCGCTGTGAGTCTGAATTGACTCGACAGCAATGGGTTACCGGTTTACAGTTGGCACAAGGATATCCTATTTTACCACCCATTA